GCAGTGATTACAAATTAAACCCATCAATGGGCTTCTATTCGGCTGCTTCATCTTCAGGATGAGGTTAACTATGGCTTCGATTCGAACTGAGATGGGTGACTGGTCCTTGCGGGGATGAGAATGCATCTTTTTATTGCCTGTTAAAGCTCTCCAAATCAGAAGAAGCATATGCTCCAGGGGAAGAGCTATAGGCGGTTAATGGCTGTTGAGAGCAGGAGAATCAGCCTGCTCCAAGGAGGAGCCGACCATAGGTTGGTTATCCCCCGCCCCTCAATGGTCAGGCCAAAACACACATGCGTGCAAGCAACACTAAATGCACTCAGATTATGTGTATGCATATGTATGTACTTAGGTAGCAATAGTAAAAGAGAGGTCATGAGGAAATGAAATGGCAGGACACAGGAGAAGCTGGCAGGAGCAGGGGGATGGAAATGGCCCATACTGTACTTTGTGTGAAGTTCTTTTTCAAGTTAAAAAAATCTATAGAAAAATAAAGTTGGAGACATGACAGGCAACAGGCTTGTGCTGAGTTGAGTCAGTGTTACTCAAAGGTGTTGACTCAAGTGTTTGGGGACTCAGCAGGAATTGGGGTGTCGTCAGTGAATTCAGGCTGGAGAAAATCAAGCCGCCAGGGCCAGAGGGAAGAGATCAGGGGAGGAAGGGGAAGCCCAGTGAGCAGTGAGAAGTGAGGTCAGCGATGGCTTGAAGCAGGACTGTAGTTCCCTGTAGCTATGGAGTGAAGGTCTATGTGTAAGGGGAAAACACTAAATTTGCTCTCAGAATTCGGTGTGATTATTTCAGGAAAAGTCAGCAGTTAGGGCCTTATTAGGATATTTGAAAAGAAAAAAATAACACAATAGTATTTTATAGATGTCCTGTGTCTATAGATGAACACAGATATAATTTGCCTTTATGTTTCTATTAAACAATACATTTTTACTTGTGGGATTTTAAATAGAAACTACATTATTAGGAGAAAAATCACTAGAGATTAGTTTAGATTTGCAGATACAAGTTATTAAATCAGAGCAAGGATTGGCAAATGATCTTTCATTTGAGACAAAGACTCACTATGTAGCCTAGGGTAGTTGGTCTTGAACTCCTGGTGCTCTTACCCCGTGTGAGTATTTATGTAAAGATCAGGTTTTTGCCTTCATGAACCAATTAGTCACATATGTGACTCTGTAGCTAGCATGGGTAGTATCTAAAGGAGCAAGCCTGAGTTCCAGCATGTCTTCATTTATGTTTACGTAAAGATTTTATGTACTTTTCATTGCTAGGGAAGCTTTAGATTTAGAAGCAACAGAGGGAAAAAAAAAAGGGGGAGGGCTTAAATCACTGTTAGAACCAAAACTTGTGGGAAGACAGGTTAGGTAGATTGACTTGGTCCACAAGGCAGTTTCCTGGATTTAAGACTCCATAGCCAGGCAGATTGCACAAACTCTTAGCCCATACTTGGGAGGTGGAGGTTGGAAGAGCGTCTTATGTTTGAGGCTAGTCTGTTTACATAAGAAATCCCTGGTTAGCCAAGGCTGCCCAATGAGACCCTGCATCTGCAGAGGACAGAACCACAGTGGTCAGGGGTGTGGGGCTCTCGCTGTCAGGGATTCTGATGTGCTCACAGTGGCGGTTTCCTTTATGATAGTAAAGGGCATGTCGCGCCCTTTGAAAGCCTTTTACATTGACTTAAACCAACATGCCTTCGGAGTAACCTGAAGGACACTGACCTTTGCTGACTGATCTAATTTGTCTGCCTCATCTTCCTGCCAGCTCCTGTTTACAGCATGACTGAGGTTATGACTGAGGCTTCCCAGCTTCCCGTGGAGGTTTTTATCTGGCTTATTGAATTTTTTAGTTCCAGCATCAATTCAGCTGGGTTTTCTTCAGCAATTCTCTTCATGTCTCATACTTTCATATCTTGGATTGACATCCTTATTTCTCTCTGTCTCTCTGTCTCTGTCTCCCTTCTTAGTGTATATTCATGTCTTGGACAACTGAGTATAGATATTCATTCTTTTGAATTATTTGTATGGCAGTTCTGCCAAGGTCACTCTCGTTAGGTGTCATTATTATGGAATAATAATGGAAGAGACTTGTTCGGGGAGGCAGGCTATCTTGGATGTCCATATTGTTGTTCTTTTACTGCATGTCTGAAGTAGTTTGTTGGCTGTTTTCCTTCTCATTTCTTTCAGGGGAGGTGGTTCACAATGTCCAGGAGAGGACTAAGACATAGTCCCACCCCCACCCCGACCTCCTGCCCTTGGAGCTGGTGCAGGAAGTCCTGGAGCTGACTTAGGCAGCCTTAGAGGAGGGGAAGCAGGGTCCCCTACCCGCGCTGTGCATGCTGGGCTCCAGAGGTAAACTTCCTGGGAGCTGCAGGTGGGCTTGCTTGAGGAGGCCATGGCTGGCACCTGGTACATGGTTTCCAGGCAGTGTAGAGGGGCCTATGCAGGGGGTGCCATGTGAGGCTGTCTGGGCTGGGTTCCTCGTGCAGGAAGGCTTTTCATGGTCTCCCTTATGATTGCCTTTGCTGGTCCTTTCATATCTCAGTGTTGCTCCAGTAATCAACATGTCTTTCACTGGTCAGTACCATCCTGTCTTAATCTAACAGTCTTCATCTCTGCTGTGTCCATTGCTTCTCCACCGTGCTCTGATGAGAAGTTCCTATACTCTTTGTGTAAGTCTCAGAATCAGTCTCAGCTTTATGATGGGAAGTACTTACATTAGTAATGTTTACAATGGTAGAGACTCCTAATAACAATGACATCATCTCAATTTATTGGCATCTCCCATCATGTGGTCAGATAAAGTTGTTTAAATTGTTTCAATAAGATCATATGTCTTTTTTGTTAGGTTTATTAATAGTCTTATTTCACAATCTTTTAAGGGTTATGACTGAAAATGTTTGGGGCTAGGCTGGAGAAATGAAATTAATTTTTGTCTGCTGTCTTTAGGAACATTGCCAAGTCCCTGTTGTTCCTAATAATTTGCAAAGTCTTTGGAACATTCTAAATTTTCTAATCCTTCCAGCATTTATAATTTCTATTCTTCACTTATTGGATAGAGCTTCCAATCCAGTGCTGAATATTGGTATCTCATTTCTCTTGAGATCAGGTTTGGGGACAAGACCGTTACCAGATTAAGGGAAATTCCTTATACGCTTACTCATATTTTGCTAAGAGGTTCATTTACAAAATACAAAAGAGGGTTTCAAATTTATTCTATGCAATTCATGTGTATGTTGAGGTAACTGTGTTCAAATTTTTTGCTTAATTTCCAAAATAGATGAACAGATATATGTTGTTAAAGCAATTTATGTGTTTGAAATAACTTGATATAACATATGTCCTAGCTATGGCCGGTTCTCCACAAGTCCTGAGCCGCCTGCATTGTGACTATCCTGCCCATCTGGTCAGTATTTACCACCCTCTCCCCTTCAGAAGATGCCTTCTTCAAAGTAGTGTGATCTAACATTGCCACCTGCTGGCAATCCTGGGAATTTCTGCTCGCTCCCTCTGGGCTTCATTTATTGGCTCTTGTCTTCTGGTGCCTTTTTCTCTTCACTCACCATTCTTCTCTGTCTAAACATTAACATACACCATTCTTTTCCTTCCTTTTCTTTCCTTCCCTTTTGTCTCTTCACCAGTATAAGCCTCCTTCAACAGTGGCTAATGATGGAAACCAGGGAACCGTCAACCAACCATACTTTTGAAATGGTATTCAGTACCACACGGTGTTAGCTCTGCCAATCATTAACATCCTCCAAATCCCATTAAAATGTCCCCACTTTTCAATTTTTAATGATTTTCTAATTAATTCTGCCCAGTTTAACAAGCTCAAGAATTAATGAAAAATTATTTAACTGTTAGTAACTCTCATTATTTCTGTCCTTTTATTAGCAGATTTGACAAATTTGGAGTTTCTTCTATATTTTATTGTAAGGGATCAATTTTTCATTATGGGTTCTTTGACCTGGCCGCCAAACCATCATCCACTACAATTTATAGGGAGACAGCCCCCGACAGGTGCCTTTTGGTATTGCAGTGTATAGGGAGACAGCCTCCCCACAGGTACCTTTTTGGTACACAACTTACTTAGGAGACAGAAACTTCTGTTTCGAGTTGCTAAACTTACTGGTGCAGAAAATACCATGAGCACCAGTTTGGGGCTGACTGATGAGTAGGTGTAGCTAGTAAGTCACTTCTTTGTTGGGTTAACTTTCATCTTGCTTTTGGTCTGTATATAAGAATGACAGTTTAGTTTAATAAGGAAGACACTGTGTCCCAAACTGATCTCTAAAGCTAAGGAGACTGCAGCTGTGAGGGCATTGTACTGCTCCTCTTCACACACCCCAGCCTACTAGGGGACAGTACATTACAATTTCTTGCTCATTCAGAAATAGCAACTCTCGATTTCAAAGTAGGTACCACAAAATCTTCTAGGTCCTCTAGGCTGGTTGTTACCTGAAGAACACATAATATAGAAAATCCAGGCTGGGGATATAGCTCGGTTGTTAAGAGTGCCTGACTAGCTTGCAGGAAGCCCTGGGTTCTGTTCCCAGGACCACATGAAACCAGACAGTGATGTACACCTGTAACCCCAGCACTTAAGAGGAAGATCAGGAGTTCAAGGTCATTCTTAATTACCCAGTAAGGCAAGGTCACCCACTGATTAAGTTCTGATGTGTATGGCTTTAGAGCCATGATTATTGTGAAACTAATTAGTCTGGGGAGAGTTCCTAAGAGAACCCTCTGGCACCTGCTTCCCGGGATCTCGAGGTATTCCTTTCTCCATGTCCCACTAGCAGAGCTTCAAAGGTGTATTTTAAGAAAAGTTAGAAAGGACATCAGGTTAGCAGTTGAGTTCCCCTCTGCTAGTCCAAGCTGAGAAAGATTCTCCTAGCTTCTAAACTGCCGAGCCTGCTGTCTGAACCCCCTCCCCTGCCTCCTCCTGTGCCCTCTGCATTCATGTTTTCTAACCTCTTAATGTCTCTTTCAAAGGTGGGGACCCAAACTGTATGCACTGTTCCAGATGCGCTCTTGCCAAAGCAGCATAAAGCTTATGTAACAGGACGGAGCTCTCCCTCCCCATGAGGTGAGTACAGCTGTCAGCAGCTGCTGGGGTGAGTCTTGCTTGCAGGAGACCTGCTCAGATCCTGGGGCGGAGGGCTCCTTTGTTGGTTTGCCTGCTGGCCAGGACCTTGTACTGTCCAGATGAAGGAGCTGAGCCAGAGTGCACCGCAGCACCCATCCTGCCCCATTCCGACCCTCGTAAGGGTCCACATCTCCCAGGGTCTTCACCGGTCAAGGATGCTGCCCTCCGCTGTAATCACTGTGCTGTCAGCCCAAGTAAATGAGATTTATCTATGACCTCGGTCATCTGATTGTAAGTGCTACATTAGGTAGGACATTCTCTTGCACTTGTGAGAGACTCTGGATGAGGGAGACAGCTCTAGCTGTTGGAGTGTGTCCTCACGTGTGACACTTTCAGTTTGCTGGGTATTAAAGTCACACAGCTGTGACTTAACAGTGGTGTTGTACATGCGCGTTGAGTCAGAAGGTCAAAGCACTGGTTCTTCAGCCTTATTAATAAAGTATCATGCCCCTCCCTTGGTCTGGCTATATTTAAAGATTATTTTATCACGATGACAGATTGTTAGAAAGTTACTGAATGTCTTTAGCAAAGACTCGTGTGACCCTAATTGTAGATAAAACTGTAGCACTGTGGTTTATCTTAGCAACTATGATGGATCCAGGGCGAGGTTCCCCCAAACTTTCTGGGAGAGTTTCCCAAGATGCTACCTGCCTAGTCACAGTGCCTGAAGATGTGACACAGGAGTCACCCCAGCGGTATGTCGTTTAGACTTCCTTACACGGGAAGGAACAGGCCCCATGTGCTCACGCAAGGTGAGGAAGTCTAAAGCCTTGAATTTTCGGTTCTCTGAAGTGAGGTGCGGATCAGACACCTCTTGACACCACTGAAACTGTCACAGTTTGAAAGAGAGTCTGAGGGCTGTTGTGCGCTATCTGTGTCTGCTCGCACTCATTTCGAAAGGGGTGTGGCCAACTGTAAATTCATAGAATTCAGCTATTCCTGGCCTCCGAACAAAAGTCTCTGCTGGAAGCACAGCCTAAACATTCACAGATTGCTGCAAACAATATCCTCCATGGCTTTTCACCTGGAAACCCTGTCTTCTGGAGCAGAAATGCATTATCCTATTTTGTTTGATTAGCAAAACCCCAGATTAAAACAGGCTCTATGTTCCCCTCCTTCTCAGTGTCCCCCACTTGTTAATACCCATGCTCTTCAGGGACACTGACTCCAAGCTCTTGTTGTCAGTGTCAAAAGCAGAAAGAGAAAGTGTCAGTGTGACTCAGGAGAGCAGCCGAGCGCCAGTGATAGATTCTGAATTATCCAGAGATAAATTCATGATGGAAGCAAGGGAACTGGCAGTCGCTGCATCGTTTAGCCTGAAATGTCATATAGCTGTCAGCCTCGGAAGGGCTGCGGCCTCCACAATCTATTGTCACTGGAAAAGGACTCAGTTGTCCTTTAGGCCTAGTTCTTCCATCTCTGGGTGTCTCTTCAGAACTGTCACCCTGCCTACCTGTGGGATTCTGCTGGCAAGGAATTGGAGGTGGCGTCCAAAGCCACAGACAGGAACTGGCTGGCTGGTTTACTGCATGGTGGAGGCCCTGCAGTCTCAGGAGCAGGTTATAGCCAAATGACTAACCAGCTGCCATGGTGTGGATCACCGGCTTCCTGTTCTCAAAATTCAAGCCTTGGATTCTCTGCAAACTCTGGGCTAAGTTTTGCTTAAAAGGCTGGGGTCAGATTTGACCACAGGCTTGTCTATGTGAGGTCCCTGAAGTATGAAGTGACCTGCGGTACATGTCACATGGAGCTAATGTCAGTAAGGTGAGCTCACTCCTCGGGCTGTTCTCCTCCCCACCCCTCACTTCCCCATACCAGAGTTGTCTGTGATTGTGACATGAAGGGCAGAGTGTTTAGACTGTAACTTTACATCTATAACACGATTCCGGGGTCAGAATGTTCCCAAACCTGCTGTTCTGACTTCTTTGAGGCCCCAAACAATTCCGGCTGCTATGGGGTCAGAGAGCAGCCTGCGCCTCCTGGCATTTCCTCTGCAGCACCCCAACTGCTGCGCAGCCCCGGGACATTCCCACAGTGCTGAACACCAATTTTAGGGCCATGCCCTTTGTAACCCTTCCTGGTCACGTTTATGTTAAAATTTCTCCTCTCTTTCCTGACTTTCCCACTATCTGTCTGTGCAGGTTCCTGGCACTGAACCACAATGAGCTTTAGACTAAGGATGTGCTGAGACAGCCCTGGGTCTTGGACGCATATACCCCCAAACTCTAGTACCTCCAGAACAACAGGGTGGACCAGTCCTCATCAACCGAGGCGCTTGCTGATGCTACCTCCCCCCTCCCTCCCCCCTCCACAAACACAAATTGCTCTTGGTTTTCCTCTTGCTGTTTTTCTCTTTCCTATACTTTTTCACTGTCTTTCCTAGGAACAGACCTCAGGAGATGGACCAGGACTTGGGATGTCTGCAGACCCTGCAGTCCTTAGCCAGCCAGCATCTGCTGAGCTTGGCTTTTAGATGCCATTTTCTCAAACAGATGCTGGAAGGCACTGGCTTCTGGAAATCCCCCAGCACACCCCACCCCACCCCCGCTTTTTTTCTTTCATTCTGCATGAATAGCTCATAAGGAATCTAAGGGGAGAATTATCAAGACTTTTCCACTTTTTAAAAAATGTATGTGACTTATCTTTGACTTTCATTTAAGAGCAAACTTGGTGGCAGGCATCTCCCTCTGTGTATACTCCCGTGGAATCTGCAGAAACCGATAATGGCATACGCTCTCTCCTGTCTGGGCTGTTTGTATAATTGTATATAAATGTAGCAATAAATATATTCTAACATGATCTGGGGCCTGGATTCCCACTTCATTTTGCACCTCAGTGCCAGGCAGTGGCAGTCACACTTTCATCGACAGCCCTGGGGCCTACCTGACCCATCTGAGTTTCTCATCTCTAGTTTCACCGTTACTAAGGAGCAAGCCAGCATTTGGAGAAAGGATGAGGAGGGTTTGGTAGCAGAGCTGGGGCATGACACAGCATTAGTAATTCATGCAGTGGCACCGGTCCTGGCTGGGGGAGGTTTGAATGTGCAAAGACTGAAGCATTGGGTGACAATTTGCAATGTGACTCAGCTATCTGACATTAGGGTGACTGTTCAGATAGCTGAGTCACATTGCAAACCATCACCTTAAGAATATGCTGTGCTGCAACAGTGTGATGAATGTGACAGGTACTTGCCAGGCATAAAGGTAGACTTTAAGGATTTTCATAAAACCACACAAAATATGCCACGTTAGAATTTTTTTTCATTGGTCAGTGGTTTTCAGAGATACCAAGGCTATTGCGTAAGCAGACAGCCCTTTATCCATCAAACATAACACTTCTATCTACTACCAAGAAATGTTTATTATCACTGTCCTCTCACACAAGGTCTTTCGTTATCAGCATTTTTATAACTTAAACAATAATCATGCTTTGCTGTGCTGTCTTATCAAATTGTTGATGTTTCTCAGTAGGCCTCTCCTTGGTCATAAAAAGAAATTGTCACACAACCATTCAGTCAGAAAGCAAGGATGTGATGGGCCCCAGATTGAAATGCACTATGGCAAGGGAGGGTTTGGAGCCCGTGAAAGGCTGCTACTTTTTGTGTTTTAAAAAAGGGGTAGGGGGGAGCCAGGCATTAGTGACGCACACCTTTAATCCCAGCACTTGGGAGGCAGAGGCAGGCGGATCTCTGTGAGTTCGAGGCCATCCTGGTCTACAGAGCTAGTTCCAGGACAGCCTCCAAAACAATACAGAGAAACCCTGTCTCGAAAAAAAAAAAAGCGGGGGGGTGGGGGCTGGAAGCAGCTGGGAAGTTCTGAACCTTGGCAATGCTGCAGAACTGTGTCACAGCTGTCCTTAATGCCACCTCTTTACAGACTCCAGAGACTCCAGTCTTCTGCCCATAGGAGAACCTGCTCTCCACAGCCAAAGCCTCCTTTCTGAGCAGCCTTTCTGGCTGTGGTGGGATGAGGGGTAATCCCATGGAGAGACTGCCTGCAAGGAGAGACTGAGGAAGCCTAAGGATTTCCCCAGGGGGTGAGAAGACCAGAGCCTGTAGTGTGTGCTCTGCTTTAAATGAGTGGGAATTAGTGGGTGGACCTTGGACCAATTGCTCCAGCCAGGGCCTTTTACTCCTCTGCTGTAAAAGGGGTGCCTGGATGGAAGGAGTGAGTCCTGCGCCTCCATTTCTACATTTACTTTCTGTTTATAATGTGTCATCTTGGAAAAGGGAAAGAAGTCACCGGTTTTAATATTAAACAGAAGATGGCTGGATGGCACAGATGGACAGTAGAGACAGGAGGATTAAAAGCGTTTATGTTCAGATGCTAAAACAATCAGAGCTCTTCAAGTCCAGCCCCCAGTGCAGAGACAACACACCGGGTTCTCACTGTCTGTCCTCCCCTTGTACAGAGACAGAACACATCAGGCGCTCACCGTCCATGCTCTAGTGGCTACTTTTTCTGACTCTTCTGCACATCATTGGACAAATGGGCTGGAAGTTGATGGCTCATAAACCCAAAGCCTATAGTGTCACCAGCAGAGGGGAGGAGATGATGACTTTTAATCACCACCAACCCCAGATGCGCCCAAAGGAGCACAAGAGTAGGGAGGCTTCCCTTCTCCCCAGAGAACCCACAGGGGTGAGCATTCAGCCCCTGGCCTAGGATGTGCTGCATTTCTTTCCAGGAAGATGGAGGCTTTGACCAGAGAATTTTCAGAGGACCCTGTTTCTTGAGTTTTCTTTTGGGGAAGCGGGCTGTCTGCAGAGAGTTCACAGTTACTCCCCATCTTTTTACCACAGGGAAGGTGGGCCTGCCTTCTTGGGATTCAGTGATAGACAGGAAGTCTGGTTGCCCTAGGCTAGGTCTGCATACTCCATCAGGGAACTTCAGTCAGCCGCCACTGTTGCTCAGCCCTGTTTCTCATTTAATGTACATCAG